GAGTGGGAGGGGCAGGATGACTGTCTAGGGTGAAGGAGGGCCTGGAGGCGACTTTTAGTGGCATCCACAGCCCCCGGTTTCTCCACCCACACCCCTCGTGGTCACAGCCGCCCACCTCGACCCCTCCCACAGGTGCAGGCAACGCTTCAGCCCCAAGCTCCTGCTTCAAAAGAGGGATGGAAAGAAACTTGGACCTTTGTTGATATTTCTGGAAAAGTCCAGCAGGTCCATGTGAGGAAGCTCCAGCCCTGTAGCTTTCCCACCGGCACAGAGGCTGCTTTTGTGTTCCGAGGATGGTGGGGGGATCCTGGGCCTCTGGAAACGGGAAGGAGAGACCCGGACACTTGTCGCTCTAGGTCTCTATACTTGTCCTCTGGGGATGACCTTCCTCTTCATCCCTCCTCAGGCCCCTTCTGCCATGATGTGCTCACCCCTCCCTCCACCCCAAACCTTCCTGATCTCCTGGCCCCTGCCGGGGGAATGGGCAAAAGGGCAGGAAGCAGATTCAGCTAACAGCCGAGCAGGCCAATTTCGGGGGCAGTGTCTCTGGACAGACTAGCGGGACCCACAGCCATGATCCAAAGTGGCCTGCTAGGCACAAAAGTGGCCACAAGCCAGATTCTGATGCAGATTCTGAAGAGAGAACAAGCATGAGCAGGGGAGGGGCAGAGAGAGAGGGGGAGAGAGAATCTCAAGCAGGTTCCAAGCCCAGCGTGGTGCCCGGAGCTCAACACATGGCTCCATCCCACAACCATGAGATCGTGACCTGAGTCGAAGCCAAGAGTCAGATGCTTAACCAACTGAGCCACCCAGGTGCCTCCTGCCGGCACCTTGATTTTGGACGTCTAGCCTCCAGGACTGTGAGAGAACAAATTTCTGTTGTTTGAAGCCAGTGACGGCAGCTCCAGGAAACTAATACTCATCATCCTCTCTCAACCTCAAGTTCTCAATCTGTGAAATAGGATGATAACAGCCATCTCTCTGGGAGAATTAAAGAACACCTGTTAGGCTTCCTGCAAAGGGCTGGCAGGAGTTATCGTCATTGCTCTAGATCAGCACTTGATGAATGTGCCGGAATTGATAGGATGCTATTTCCCTGCATGGACACAGCGAGGGCAGAGAGGGCCTGATCCCGCAGGGCAGCACGGGAGATGTGGGAGCCCAGAGGACAAGAGAGAATGGGATACAGGGACGTGGCGGGGGGGGGGGGCTCCCCAGGCTGTGTGTGGCCTTTCGCTCAGAGGGTGTCTGTGTAGGGGGCTCCCTGGCCCTGTGGGGCCTTCCTCATGGATTGCCTGGTTCCTTCAGCTTGTCAGCTCTACTTGCTACTGTGACCTTCCCCCTCCCTCTGGGCTGAACTTGACTTTAAGAGGGAGAGGCAAGGCTGCTGCCTGGGGTGGGGGTTGCTGAGGCAGGGGCTGTCCCCCCCCGCAGGCTGAATGGGTCTCTGAGAATGGGAATGTCCTAGAACCTGCACGTGGGGCTCTCTGAGGTTGGCGAGACCCCTGGCCTCCCACCTCGCTTTTCACCCAATATTCTGGGCAGGAGCCACAGAGCGTGGGTGCATCCAGTCCACTCCCACGCCCTCCTTTCAGAACGTAACATTTTGTACACACCCCACAATCTCCTCGGGCTCCACCCCTTCTCACCACCCTTTCCCGTCAGCCTCTTCTGAAGGGCTTGGGAGGGGAAGGCCAGTCCTCCCTTCTCCTGGGGGGCCACCCCTCTACCTTGGCCACTGGCATCCCTGGGGGGCGGGGGAGGGGGGAGAATCTGCTTTTCTGTTTTAATCAGAGACCCCAACTTATTTTCATTTAGTGAGAGAAGTTGGAGAGTTCAAAGGAATTTTGTAAAAATTTCCAGGAAAACAGAAACGAAGAAGCGCGAGGTCACCTGGGTTTATAGAGGACGCAGGCTCGCTCCGCTACGACAGCTGCTGGGGTGAGTGCCGCTGCAGGCCGGCTCTGGGCTGGGCGGTTCACCTCCCCGGTTGCACCATGTGAAATTGCCATTCTGTTCTTCGAAATGGTCAGGTCCACTCAGAAAAGACCTGTAACAGTTTTTAAATTTTTTAAAAAATGTTTTATTTATTCTTGAGAGAGAGAGAGAGAGAGACAGAGCATGAGCAGGGGAGGGGCAGAGAGAGAGGGACACAGAATCTGAAGCAGGCTCCAGGCTCCGAGCTGTCAGCACAGAGCCCGATGCGGGGCTCGAACTCACAAGCCGTGGGATCATGACCTGAGCTGAAGTCGGACGCTCAACCGACTGAGCCACCCAGGCTCCCCAAGACCTGTAACAGTTTTATCTAAAAGCCTGGGTGGCTCAGTCAGCTGAGCTTCTGACTCTTGATTTTGGCTCAGGTCATGATCCCAGGATCATGGGATTGAGCCCACCCAGCATGCAGCCTGCTTGAGATTCTCTCTCTCTCTCTCTCTCTCTCTCTCTCTCTCTCCCCCTCTGCCCCTCTTCCCCACTCTGCTCTCCCTCTCTCTAAAAAAAGGGGGGGGTCAATATTTATAACATGCCAGAAATTGTCTTTTTTTTTTTTTTTATCATTTAAACATGATGGAAACCTTTAGAGAAGGAGGGTGTCTAGGCAAAACTCTTTTAAGTTGAAAAGGTGCAAAATTTTGCATACCACTGCTCAGCCTTGTCGGGGAAAGAATGCAGACCCTTTCCAGGGTTCTGCCTGCCTCCTCTCTTCTGTGTCTATTGTCTTTCTTTCCTGTGGTTTCTCTCCATATGTTTTCCTTCCCTTTTCTCTATTTTGCTGTCAGTTGTGTTTCTTTGAAACTTGTTAATTTAATGCCCTCGATTTCGACTGTAATATTCACATTTCTTCTTCTCCTACATGATCGATTATCCCTAATCAATAATTTTTCTTGTTGCTTTCAAATCTTTTTGTTACCATGAGATGATCTTTTTAGAAAACACGGTCTTTCTGATGAAGAGATATTTACTGGAGTCATGTGGTTTCCTTCAGTGTTACTTCCGTTTATTTTCTTTTGTTAAGATAAACCGAATTAGATTTAATACATTATATTTAAAATATTCAATCAGGTCCCTTTATAGCAATACTTCTATCAATTTATCTCTCTAAACGTCTTATCCGCATCAATGCAAAAAGAGATTACTGGAAATGGTGGTTATTCATTAATTACAGCTATTTCTGATAGGGAGATTTATTTTTATTTTGTTTTGCTTTTTGCTTTCTTCTTTGTGCTTCCTTGCCTCGCTTGAATTCTTTAAAACCAGCAGGTAGCATTTAGCCAAATGTAAAACATGAAGAATGTAACAAGAACCGTGTGGGCACAAGGAGGAAACTTATCAATGATACAAAGTTTGTTCCTGCAGTGTTTCATCCAGTAAATATTAATGCCAAAAATTGGTTGAATATAGAGCAATTTCCTGTGGTTCGATGTATTACAATGACTTTATAATGACTGTTTGAGGTAAGTGTTATCAGACCCATTTTACAGATAAGGCCACTGAGGCTCAGAGGAGCTGAGTGGTGTGCCCAAGACCACACCAATAGAAACTGGAAGAGCAGAGACTAAAAGCAGTCCCGCTTGTTGTTGAAGGCCACACCCTTGACCACTGCCCAGCCCTGCCTCCTCCTGAGTCCACAGGTGCCTTCTGACTGTGTCAACCTGCCGGGATTTGCCCAGGGCTCAACACAAAGGTGGAAGGCTCTTCTTGAAAGGGTGGAGGGCTTGGCCCCCTCCTCAGGAGGCCTGGCTGTGCCCCAGAGGGGCAGGAGGGGACAAGGTGGAGCAGTTGTGATGACATCTGGGGGTGGGCGAGATCTGCAGTGATGGACAAAGTAGCCGGCAGAGACGAGGGGCCAGGAGGAGTTGGAGCGAGGAGGCATAGGAGAAATCAAGGCCCGGATGCCTGACACCAAAGTCCTTCCAGCACCCATCTTGCACCCCCAGGGCCCCTGAGATCTGGAAGGCCATGTCAGGGGTGCCTCAGCCACTGTCTCCTGTCTGAGTCCAGCTACCAGGCATGGAGTAGAAGGGGAGTGCACACACATCAGGGCCCCTCCATAACCACATTCCAGCTGGGCACATCCTGCCCCCTGTGCCCCCTACACGGAGCTCCAGGCCCCATCACCTGGGGACCAGCAGAGGCCAGCAGCTTGGGCAGGGGACCAGAGGCTGGGGGGCGGAGGGAGGGGGCCTGTAGAGGGTGCAGCCAATAAATCTCCTGAGACAATTATGGCGGTAAGGCATAAACAAGGCGCTTTGCCTGCTGCAGCCGCCCCCTCTCCTGCATACACGCGGGCACGCGCGTGCGCGCATGCGCGCGCGCGCACACACACACACACACACACACACACACACACACACACACACTAAAGCGCGGCCCATTTGCAGGGTAATGGCTTTGCGACAGGAGGAATTATCTGCAGCATTAGAGGTAGCCAGGCCAGGCGCTGGGCCTAACGGATACCAAGGGAGGAAGCAGGTGCCCAGGTGCTGAGGCCTGCACCCCCGAGGATGCTGCGGGGGTGGGACGCATGGGTAGGGGCTGCTGACGGCTTGGTGAGGGCCAGTGCCAGGTAGATCGCCCGTACTACTGCTGCCCCCAGTCCTTTCTGCTTCCAAGGCTAAGAGTGGACAGACGACCGGGGTGGGGGGCACTAACTCAGCACTTGAAATCATAACAAAGCAGACCACCCCTCACTCCCCCACCACTGCTCCTGTTCTGCCTCAGGGCTATTCAGCCCTAGACCGCCTCATCCTGCTGATAGCCTAGAGAAAGAGGCCAAGAGTGACCAAAGGGAACACAGGAAGGAGGACACATGTTATAGGTGTGGCGACAGGGGCGGCTCTGTGACTGTCATAGGAATTGTCCAGCATCGCCAGGGAGGAGGGGTTCGGGGAGGAGGGGTTCGGGGGGAGGGCCCCTTCCTTCCCCAGGTCAGGAAATGCCTCTGGATGCCTGTTTCAGGGTGGGAATATTGGGGGCTCATCTCCTGGCCCCGTTAGCCAGCTAACCCTGGTAGGGGCAGCAAAGCCCCAGTAAAGAAAGTGAGGCAAGCTCTTTCAGGCTGCTTGGGACGCTGAGGTCATGGTGATGCGGGGGTGGGCTGGTCCTTGGGAGCCTTCACGTCCCACCCCGGGGCTCAGCCAGGCCTGCTGACTGACGGCGGGGAGGGGGGCGGTGGCGAATCACGCCTGCCAGCCTGACAATAGAGCCGGGCTCCATGACTCTGGCGGCAACAGAGCACCCTGCCCACCTGCGGGCACACCCAGATTGCATTTGCTGAAATAAATTGCTGAAGAAAATAAATCCTGCACACATGATTAATGGGAGGCAGGGAGGCAGGCAGCCGCTGCAAAGAGCCGCTGGGGAACAGAGTGACAGTCGGGCACAAAGCCAGCGCTGCCGTGGGGCCTCAGGGAAGGGGCTCTGATGGCTGCATAGTCACGGGGGTCACCGTAGCCCTGGCATAGCCACCAAACAGGGGGGCTGAGCCCGCAGGCAGAAGGGGCCCCCCGGGGCTCAGGCCGGCCCCCAGCATGGCTCTGCATCATTGCAGGCGGTGTGGAGGGGGCTGACCCCGAGCTTGGAGTTACCCTGACCTGGTCCGACTGCTTCTGGAAATTGAGGGTTCCCATGGGCCAGAGGAGGGAAAAAGTAAAGCTAGGATCTCAGAAGGAGGGACAAGGGCTGAGGAGAAGGGGCTTCCCTACTGGCCAGCTCTGAGTTCCTGAGCAAATCACTTCCTGTCTGAGCCTCAGTCTCCTGGTCTGCTCAATGGGACTAGTGTCTGCGCCTCCCTCGTAAAGTGGTTCAGAGGCACAGCTGAGGCCACCCAGGCAAAGTGCCTCCTCGGGTCCAGTGCTCACAGGGGGCCGTCCCAGCCAACAAAGGGGTATTCAGCACCTCTGAGGTGCCCGTGTTGTGCTGGGAACTGGGATACAGTCTCTGCCTGCATGGAGCCTAGAGGCAAACACTGAAAATGACATAATATGTAAGTCTTCTCAAATGCACAAGGTGCTGTGAAGGAGAAGGCCTGAGTGCTGGGGGGAAATGGGTGGTAGGGCCACAGTCTGGAGGTCAAGGCAGGCTTCCTGGGGGCACCCGACACAAGGAGACTTGTGGCAAAAATGCAGAAACCTGACAGTCCACTCGGTTGGTGAGGCTGCTGAAAAACAGTCTTGTCGCTGTGTGTGGGGCACCCGACACACCGGCTCAATCCCTACCTGAATTACAAGCACTCTTATTCCACAACTGGCTCTCCACTTAGGGCATTTTATCCTACAGATAGGTGCAAAAGCACATTTAGGAAATGATGGAGGTACACGGATGTTCACTGCATTGTTGTTAACAGGAGCAAAAAAAAAAGCAACAACAACCCAGAGACTCATCGAGAAAGGGCGGAGTTAAATAAACTGCGAACAGCCACACAGTGGAATACTATGCAGCTGTGAAAAAGGAACAAGGAATCTACTGTTCCGGAAAGAATGTTGAGATACATTTAGTGAAAACAAAATGCAGAACAGCATGCATAGTATGCTTCCTTTTGTGTAAGAAAAGAGGGAAAATAAGAGCATAGATCTTTATTTTCTTTAGAAGACTATACAGTAAATTAATAAGAGTAGCCATCTGGGGTTATGTGGGAGGAAACCAGGCACATGGGGACAGCGTGGCAGGAAGGCTTTTTACTTTTTACTTTTTACTTCAAATTTTGAAGCAATTGGGGCAGTATTATCTACTGCCAACAAATATTTGTAAAATCATATTTTAGGGTCTGGAGGGCAGAGGGCTCCTGGATGGCATCTCAGTAACTAGAAATGCCCGAGGAAGGAGCTAGTTAAATTTTACTGATTCCAGGCCCGCCCTCAAGCTGGTACACAAGCGCTGGCCCGCTCTGAACAAAACACGTTTGGGGACAGTTAGCTAATACACCCAACCTTCTGGGAGGGATCTGAGGCTCAGCACGTGTGGCCCCAACCAGGCCCGGACTTGGCCTTATGCTCCAAGGAAGGCCCAGGACTTCACTGGCGGGGCGCGGTGGGGGGGAACAGCACCGTGACGTGTCTGGTGGAACACCCGCCACCCGATGGGGGTTCAGGAGAGAAGAAGGGTGCGCGGCTCTGCGAAGACGCGCTCTTTCCGGGGCCGCTCCCCGGCTGTAAGCGGCGCTCTCTCCCGACCCCGGGCCCGCAGGAAGCCCCTCCTCCCGACGGATGGGCCCGGCGTCCCGGCTCGGGAAGGCAGAGCAGGTGCGGGGCGCCTCCTGGTGGCGCTCCGTGAGAGACGCGGGGCTTGAAGGACAGAAAAGCCCTGCACCAGGTCCCAAGGAGGCTTGGGGGGGGCTCAGTAAAACCAGAGGGTCGCACATCTGGGACAAGGGATTCGAACCCAGGCTTCGGGGTGGGGGGAGACCTTGGAGCAATCGAAGACCTCTGACTGTGACCAACCCAGTAGACCCCCAGCTGATGGGAGTCTGACCCTTCCCCCCCCAAGTCCCCTCTTTCAGGCCCACCCATCAAAAGGGCGCCGCCGCGCTGCCTGGCGTTCTTCTGGGGCTCAGAGAGGTGAACCTCCTGCGTTTTCTGCCCTTCCCATGATCTTTCCACCTTGTCCTCCCCCCCCCCCCCGCCCCGCACGGGCGCGCCTTTTTGTTTTCTGAATCACCCTCCCTGCTCAAGCCACAGACCAGGGCAGCTTGGGAGCTTAATCCCTAGGGAGCAAAGTGTAGGACGAGCTGCATAATTTGCTGGGCCCCTTGTTTAACAATTACTACGAATTTCAAAATGATGCTGGCAGAGCATTAAATCAAGTGGAGCATCTGAGTGCAGCTCTGGGAAGCTGAGTGGGACCAGAAGCCAGGGCTGCTGGTGAAGGTGGTGTTGGAAGGAGGGGGCGCAGAGAGTGGGGTGCTAGGCTTCCTACCCCTAATCCCCAGTACATGGGCCCCTAGGCCTGGGATCAGGGGCTTCCCCTACCTCATCATCGTTTCTGAGCGTCTCCTCTGGGAGCGTCTTCACAGCTCGTGTGCACGCACGTGTACATGACCATGCAGATGTGCATGCCAGGTCAGGGAGGTCCTCAGAGCAGAGAGCTGGGCCATCTGAGCCCCACCGCTGCAGGCTTTATTAAGTGCTTACATGCACTAGCCTCACTAGGCCTAAAGGTATGCCCATTTTGCAGATGAAGAAACTGAGGCATGGAGAGGCTGATGGCTTACCAAGGTGAGCCATGTTTCCCAGGTCTGGTCTCCCCACTGGGGAGACCCCGCTGAGGGATTAAAGGGGGTGCAGGTATCCTCTCGCTTACACAGTCCTGGCTGGGGCCTGGGGGAAATAAAACAACCGTGATCTGTGAAGTTCAATGAACCATTAGCAAGTGCCAGGGTCCATTCTACGCATCTTACAGGGCGTGACTCAGGGATCCCTCACAGAAGCTTCGTGCAGCAGGGGCCATAATCACCCCACTTTGCAGGCATGGAGCATGTGAGGCACAGCCAGGTCACACAACCTGCTGGGGGGCACACCGCAGAAAGGGTAGAGGCAGGATTTGAATCCAGGCAGGCAAGGTCTGCTGTCTGAGCTGGTACGTGAGCACAGCTCCTAGGGTGCCAGGGGAGGCTGCACATGGGGACAGAGGGACAGGCTGCCCCGTGGTCTCTTGGGTCCATCTGGCTCTTGGCCCAACTCTGAGCCATGCCGTCTCTAAGTTCTGCTCTGGGCCTGGCTCCTTCTTCGCCTCCAGGGGTCCCTCCAACTCTCAGGCCCTGCATCATGGGACTCAGGCTATGGGGGCCCTGGGGCTGGGTGAGGCAGGGGCTTCTCAAGCAGCACTGGTGCTTGGGGCCGGAACACTGGGGTCTGGTCCCCTTTCCCCCAAGAAGTGGGCTGCCCGGGGAAGGGTGCTTTCCATGTGGCCAGAGGCCCTGCCCCCCAGACTCAGCCAGTAGGATGTCCCCCCAGTGCCTCCCCAGCCCAGAGGCTCAGGATCCAGTAAAAGGGACATATGGCATCTTCGCCTGTCTACACACCACCCCCCAAGTCCTTATCTGTCTCTCTGTCCCTCTCTCCTTCTCTCAGCACCCCCCCCACCTTGTCTCTCAGTGAGCCTGTGTCTCTATTACTGACACCCCATCCCCTGTCTGACTCCCTCCCCCCGTCTCTTCTGTCTCTGCTGTATCTGTGTCTCTTATTTTCTCTGTGTGTGCCCCCCCCAAAAACTTCCCACATCTTCTCTTGAACCCCCTCAGCAGCCCCCAGCCTTCCCAGGGCTTGGCTCTCAGGAAGCCCCCTCCACTCCCCGACCTTATTGGAGCAGAGAGGGAGCGAGAGCACATTTCTTCTCGTCCAGGCCTAATATCTTAATGCAAGGCCATTACTCACCCAGAGTCCAGGCAGGGCAGGCCTCTCCCCTCCTCGTTTGTCATCCAGAGTGAAGCCTCTGCGTTGTTCCTCGGGGATCAGATTAAGGGACTGACAGTCAGGATGAACAAATTTAGCGGCCAGCGCCGCCTCCTTCCTCCCTCCCACCCCAGCCTCCCAGGCTCCGAGTCCCTGAACTTTGAGTAGGGGAGGTCTGAGGCCTCTGCGAGTCCTGTGTCTTGGTTCTGCTCCTCCTCAAAGGGCCCAGCAAGGGATGAGGGGGACCAGGAGCTTTTCTCCTCAGACAGGAAGAGAAACAAAAGAGGAGCGGGGTCCAGAGGAACCTCTACACCCTGGGGACTGTTGAGCATTTAGTATAAAAATAGACCAGCCAACACTATATATAGTTCCTTAAAGCCCTGTTCAAAGCCCTTTTACGTGGATTCACTCACATAATCCTTACAACATCCCTATGAGGTAGGTACTGTTATTATCCCATTTTACAGGGACTCAGAGAGGCTAAGTGACTTGCCCAATGCCACACAGCTAGTGAAGTCTGTCAGTCATGGTGCTTTGTATCTTGGTTCATTTTCTCAACACAGTAGCTGGGGGCGAGGGACTCCTGTCACCCCCCTGTTACAGATGAGAACACGGAGGTGTTCGTTCACGTCTGGAACACTCACCACGGCTCTGTTCTCTGTTCCCCACCGTGGTCCTGCCCTCCTTCCTTCTGGTTTCCCGGCCCCCCCCCCCCCCCCGCCCCCCAGCTCTGCACTGCCCTCAGCAGCAGAGCTGGTGTGACTGGAGCCATTTGGGGGAAGAAGGAGTGAGAGGCTCTCTGGCCTGGCCTGTCTGCCCCTCAGTTCCATGGCTGAGGCCACATCCTCCACCAGGGCTCTTGGTCTGGGGGCTGTGTCGAGAGTAACCTGCTATGATCACCCCTCTTTCTGGCCTTGTCACTGAGCACCTGCTGCCTGGAACCCAGACCCCAGAGCTGAAAGCCAAGCACTGCCTTCATGGGAGGGGCAGGAAGGGGCTGTGGAGCCTACCTGGAGCCTTCCCACTGCTGTCTGGACACCAACTCTTTCCACTCTCCACATCAGCCAGGTTCCCATAGTAACCACTGGCTTGCTGTCTCCTAGCAACTGAGTGGTCCTCGGAGGGGGAGGCAGAGCAGTGGAGAGTGGCTGACATTTGAGGCCAGAGAACTTGGGTTCACATTTTGGCTATGTGAGGTCATAGCTGTGTGCAGTCTGTAGCAAGTCACTTAACCTCTCTGAACCTCTACTTTCCCTTCTGTGAAATGGAGATGATACTGCTCAAGGATGAAGCACTTAGGATAAAGTTGACAATCCATGGAACTCTAAGGAGTCTGCCAAGGTGTGGAATTAATGAGAGAAGGCCAGTGGGGCACTGTTGGGCCTGGATGGGATGACGGAAGTAAAGCCTGGGTCCTGGGGGAGCCTAGTGTGTCTGGGCCTCCCCGTCATGATGGACCCCAGCAGTGGCCCCACCCAGACGCCTTGGCCCTAGAGATGGCCACAGGCCTCAGTGCCGTGCTTTCTGGCATCAAGTAAGTCCCCAGGGACTCTTCCAGAGACGCCACCCCTTCGTGATAGTTCTGCCTCCTCCGCTTACAAAACAACAATGCACTGGCTACCAGAACCAGATATGTCCCATGCCTTTTGCATTTGTTTAATTTTACCCAACGAGCTAGGTTCATTTTATTGTTGCCCAGTGTCAGTTGTGGAAACTGGGCTCAGAGAGGTTCTGTGCTCAAGTCTGGCAAGAGACTCACAAGACGCAGGGCTGGGGCTGGAGCCCCGACTCTGAGCGCCAGGTTCTTGACACATCGACACATCGAAGGGACGAGTGAGAGAGGGAGGGTGACTAAGGGTGGAGGTGTGCGGACAGGGAGCGAGGGAGACCTCGGAACAGGTCCCCGGAGGCCTCCCCCCTCCCCCAAGGGGACACAGGGCCAGGGGGCCAGGATGGAGCTCGGAGCGGGAGGAAATCTCCCTGGCGCTTGAAGGGACAAATGGCCCGGCGGCGGCTCATCCCGAGATGCCCCGGAACGCGCTCCGGGGAGGGCGGGGGTGGGGAGACCGTGCGCCCCGGGCACGGGAATTTGCAGCGTTTCTCGGCACCGGTGGGCGGAGGCGAGGCTAGAAGGGAGGGGCCAAGCCCGAGGGGCCGGTGCCCGGAGAGGGGGAGCCTGCGGGCCCGAGGGCGGCGGGCCAGGGGCGGCCTGGGGGAGGGAGAGACCCCTCCGCCCTGTGCCCCGAGGCCCGGGCCGCACCCAGCCTGCCAGCTCCACCGGCTGGCGCCAGGCCCTCGGTCCCGGTCTTCGCTGGGTTGGGGCAGGGGCTGAGCCGGACGTTGACCCATATTCCCGAGGGAGCTCGGTCTCCACGCTCCAGTCTAGGTAGGTCCCCTCCCCCACGCCGGCCTCCAGGCTGAGCCTTCCCCGCCTCCCCCTGCCGGCAGCTCAGCCTCCTTCTGGGCCAGGGCCGAGGTCGCTGCGGCAGCTCGGGCCGCTTGATTCAATTAACTAATTCCCGACAAGACAGATGTGCGATTCCCCGCCGCCTGCCATTGGGCGGAGATGGAGCTCCCGGCGGGCGGGGGCGGGGCGGTGACGTCACGGACGGCCGCTGACGTCATGGGCGCCCGGCCAGGAGTCCCGCGGCGACCCGGCCCCCTCCGGCCTCTGCAGTGAGTGCCTGCTGGCGCCCGCGGTGTGCGCACCTGTGTCTTCACGCGCCACTCCTCTGGGGGACGCCCTGGGCCTCAGAGGTCTCCGCTGGGTCCACGGTTCGGCCCAGCTGGGCTGACTCCTAAGTGCGACCCCTCCATCCCTCCTCCCCGCCCTTGTCCTCTCTGCCCTCTGAATCTGCCACCCTCCCCTGGCCCTGCCCCCCACGTCTCTTACCTTGGTGGAGCTTTCTGGTGAGGGCGTGCACAGTGAGGTCCACGCGTGCTCGTACACACCCAGGCACGCACACATATGTGCACACGGGGCCTACTTGGACACACAGGTATATGCCCGTGGAGCATGCTTCCAGACAGGCACACAGTGGCGCCCAGGTTGCACACATAGGGACACAGGGAGCCACAGTAGTATCCCAGCCACACGTGTGCACACACGTGTCCCCACATGCACGCCTGCAGGCCCCCAGGCCCTTGGCCCCTGGCCTCTGCCTTTACTCAGGCTCCTGGGCCTCCTACGGGGCTTTGAGGAAGGGGCAGCAGAGGGGGAAGGGAGGCATTGTCAAGGACACCAGCAAGGAAAGGAAAAAAAAAAAAATGAAGTGGAAGAAATAAAATCAAAAGGCTTTTAAGGCTGCTCTCCCCAAGTAGTTGATGTCTTGGCTGCGATTGCCGGCAATGAAATATTGTGCTCTCTGATCGCTTAATGCACAGAGCACAGCAGCCCCTCCCCCTGCTCAGAGGCAGTCCCCTCCCCTGCACCTCCACTCCACTCCCCTCCTGATCCTCCCTGGCAGATCTGCCTCCTTGCTCCCAAAGGGCCCAGAGTGTGTGGTAGAGGGCACAGCTGATGCTCACTTCCAGCCTGGCATTGACCCCAGGAGAGACTCCAGAAGCCACAGCTGGCATGGGGGCCCCAGCCCACAGCCTGGGTAGGAGGGGAGAGCCCAGCTTTGGGCTGGGATCCCTGCCCATGCCTGGCAGTTGTGGACCTCAGGGTTCTTCCTGCAGAGATGCTGGGTCTAGGGGTGTTGGAACTGAGGTACCCTCAGTCAGGGGGGAAAAGACATAGGGTCCACGTGTGCCTGGTGGGACTCTTGAGCAGCCTGGGAGGCTGAGACTCCTGGAGTGTCTGTGTGTGTGTGTGTGTGTGTGTGTGTGTGTGTGTGTGTGGGGGGGGGGG